CACGTAGTTAGTAATATAGTATATATAGCTAAATAGATATAATATATATACTTATATTATAGATATAGAAACTAGTAAAAAAAAGGATTTTAATTAGTTTTAGATCTTTTTTTATATTATAGTTAAATTATTAATAGTTAAATGTTATAGGGTTAGGGTAGGTACGTGACTTACTTATCTACGTGACTCGCTTATCAACTATGTTATAATAATAATAAAAATAAAAAAGTAAAGTTTTATTAATATTATTATAAAATAAGTAATATATTAAAAAAATAATAAGCTAAAGATAACCTAAAACTAGAAAAAGAGAAGAGATTTATAAAAGTTATAATAATAAAAATAATATTAAAAAAGTATTATAAAAGTAAAATTAATATAATTATAAAACTAATAAGAAAATAATATTAAAAGTAAAATATAACTAGTTTTAAGTAAAAGAAATATATAATATATAAGAAAATTAAAAATAAAAAAACTAAAAAAAAGAAATTATAAAAAATAAAACTTTTTAAAGTTAATAACTAAAAAACTATTTACTTAAATATAAAATAAAAAAATATATAAAGTTAAATTTAAACTTATATAAGTTTAAGTTAAAATATAATTAATTATAATAAGTTAAGTAAATAAAATAAAAAATATTTAGTAAGTATAAAATATAATAAATAATAGATGAAAATAATAATAATAATTTAATATTATATATTTATAAATATATTTATAAAAGTAAATAAATATATATTTATTTCTTAATTAAATATAAAATAACTTTAATTTTATTAATAAAAAAAGTCTTATAAAATAAAATATAATAAATATATAATATTAATTAAGTTTTAAACTTTATATAAAAGTAAAATATATTAATATATAATATTAATTAAGTTTTAAACTTTATATAAAAGTAAAATATATTAATATTTATTTTCTTTTTTTATATTTTATAATATACCTTTTTTTATTAATCTTAAAACCTTAGCTATTTTTAATTTAGATAAAGAGCTATATTAGCTTTTACTAGGAATAGTAATAAGATAATAGTAAGCTAATATAGTAAAATAGGTTTTTTTTAAGAACTCTAGTTTTTTATATTTTTATAAAAAACAAAAATATTAGATAACTTATAAAGCTTAACTAAGGTAATTTAATAATGATAATAATATTAATATTAATAAATAATTTAAATATAATTTATTTATGATATTTTAAACTATATATAAAAATTATATTAGTTTAAACTAAAAGAAGTATTTTTAATAGAAAAATAGTTTTTTATTATTTTTATATTTTATTATAAATAGATTAACTTTTTATAATTATTAATATTTTAATTATAAATATCTTACTTTTTTTATAAATAACTACTTTAATTTTTATCTAGTTTTATATTTTTAAGTTATAGTTTATTTTTTTTAAATTAAAGTCTTTTATAGATTATTATTTACTTTTCTTTTTTTATTTATATTTTAATTTAATAGTAAAATATTTTAGAAGTTATTTAACTAAATAATTAAATTAACTTAAAATAAACTATCTTTAAACTTTTTTTTCTTATTAAACTTTTTAACTTCTTTAATAGATTTTAAGTTTTTATTATAATAGTTTATTAATACTTTTACTTATAATTAAAAATATTTTAATTAGTAATTAAAGTCTTTTTCTATTATAATTTATTATAGTATTTAAAAAAATCTTAAAAAGTCTATAAGAATAAATATTATATATATTAAAATATTAAATTATATATAATATTAAATTATAAATATTATTCTTTAAAGATAAATATATATATTAAATAAAGTTATTAACTATTAATTAAAACCTTAATATATAAAAGAATTACTTATATTAAAAGTATATTATATTATAATTATTATATAAAAGAAAAACGAATTATAATAGATTATAATATTATTTATTATAGAAATAATATAATTAAATTATTAATTATAATAGAAATTAAATATAAAAAAGATTAAAAAGTTATTTTATAATACTAGAAAAGACTTAGTCTTTTTATTTATATTATTAAGTAAATATATATTACGGTAATTTACTATAACTAATATAATATATTATATTTTAAATAATTTTAATAATATATAAATTAAATAAAAAAGTTATAATATAGTTAGTAAGTAAATAAGCTGGATAAGTAAGTAAGCTACCTTACCTAACCTTTTACCCTTTAACTATTAATAATTTAATTATAATATAAAAAAAAATTTAAAACTAATTAAAATCCTCTTCTTTACTAGTTTTTATATATATCATATAAATATATATATTATATTTATCTTAATTATATATACTATATTACTAATTATATATTTTAACTTTTTATTTTTTAATTATTATAAGCTTATATTTTATTTTTACTTAAATTATTTATATTTATTTACTCTTTTAAATCTCTTATATCTTATATAAAAAACAATCTTTTAGTTTATAGTCTAGTTTTTTTT